CCTGGAGTATCTACGTCAGGAATACGGAACCTGTGGCCTTCCAGATATGCCTCAGCTCCCATCTGCCCCAGGGATGATGGGAGTTGCAATCCAACATCTGGAGAACCAAAGGTTCTCCATCACTGATCTGTGCAACAGTATTGCTGGCTATCAATATCAATAACAATATCAAGGTTTTCTTAAGCTGTCCTGGCTCTTTTATTAAGACTCCAAACAAGCTGGAAAGTTAGTAGAACCCGCATGCTGCAAACTTATGGTATTTTATAGTATCTTATTTGTTCGCAGATGTACAGCTGAGTAAAGGGGCGCAGAAGCAAACACAGCAGATAGTATCACCCCCAAGCCTGCTTGTGCAAACTAGAAACCCCTTGGTAATCTTTCAGCAAACTGCAAAATTGAAAAAGGGCAACCTGTAGTACCACTTAGTACTGGGGGTGCTACCTAAATGCAGCATGAGACTCAGCTAATTAGACTCCTGCTTTTTCTCCCTGCCTCCCTGCACAGGTTTCAAGACTATTTCCAGCATAGCACCTAGTACTTAAAGGTAAAGGTAAAGGGACCCCTGACCATTAGGTCCAGTCGTGGCCGACTCTGGGGTTGCGGTGCTCATCTCGCTTTATTGGCCGAGGGAGCTGGCATACAGCTTCCGGGTCATGTGGCCAGCATGACTAAGCCGCTTCTGGTGAACCAGAGCAGCGCACGGAAACGCCGTTTACCTTCCCGCCGGAGCGGTACTTATCTATCTACTTACACTTTGACGTGGTTTTGAACTGCTAGGTTGGCAGGAGCAGGGACCGAGTAACAGGAGCTCACCCTGTCACGGGGATTCGAACCGCTGACCTTCTGATCAGCAAGTCCTAGGCTCTGTGGTTTAACCCACAGCGCCACCCGCGTCCCTAATACTTACACACATACAAACATTTATTAATTACTTGCAAATATTTAAAAAGGCGATAATTCCAAAATGGAGCAAGACATTTGCTGAATTTAGAAAAGAAAAAAAAAACCACTTACCATGCTTACCTTTTGAAGAATGATCAGTAACAGGGTTTTTTCTTTTCTTTTCCTAGATGGTGTTTAGGATACTTGGAATCGAGTCAATATTCATTTAAGTTCTTAGATCTTAGGCCAGTCACAGCAGAAACGAAGGTGCTGGTGGTTGCTGGGAGAGGAGATGGAATGGGGCCATTTTCTGCTACAGAAAACAACAGCTCCATTCTCAAAAATAATATTCTGTCTAGGTCTCCTGGACTGTTTTGCCAGGTGAAGAATGCCTGGAAGATTAGGCCGGGGAAGGGGGCCTTATGTGAAAAGCAAATAACAAGGTATTTTTTAAAATACATTTGGAATTTAAACCTCCTCCCTTTCCAATCACCTTAAATGGAAAAAGTATCAAGGTTGTTCAGCTGGGAAATCAACTCATTTCCCGACACCCTAGTTCTAAGCCTATTATACTTAGAAGCAAATCCCATTATTTCAACACTTATTCCCATATACATCATTACGAATGGAAAACGCACATATAAAAGAACCAAGTCTATTTGCCTCTAGAACTAAAACTTCTCCAGATTATTCAGAAGTCAATGGCATCCCGGCATAAATGACCTAAAAAAAGGGTTATTATAGGGGTTGGTAATCTTCCCTCCTAAAATGCAGACATAATCTCAGAGGGATATGGTTGGGGACTGCATGCCAGCAGTGATGCCCCAAATATGCCATACCCTCCCATCTGAGACATGTAAATTTCTGGTGCCAATGGGAGACCTATTTTTTGGAGCAGGCCATTGCAGGGTATTAATGCCCAGGTCAGGTTTTCCTATTATCACTGGTGCTTTTTTCCTGCCCTTTTTTACAATACTGTATTGTGGTTTTGATTCATGGTACTGAACTCCCACCCCAGAATCGGTTGCAATAAAGAATAGGCTCAAAATATATTCCAGGTGGCGCTGTGCTCTAAACCACTGAGCCTTGGGCTTGCTGATCAAAAGGTTGGCAGTTCAAATCCCCGTGATGGGGTGAGCTCCCATTGCTCAGACCCAGCTCCTGCCAAACTAGCAGTTTGAAAGCACGCCCCAAAGTGCAAGTAGATAAATAGGTACCGCTCCGGCAGGAAGGTAAATGACGTTTCCATGCGCTGCTCTGGTGTCGGTGTTCCACTGCGCAAGAAGTGGCTGTCATGCTGGCCACATGGCCCAGAAAAACTGTCTGTGGAGCAGACAAACATCGGCTCCCTCGGCCTGTAAAGCGAGATGAGCTACGTAACCCCAGAGTCATTTGCGACTGGACTTAACAGTCAGGGGTCCCTTTACCTTTAAAATACCTTAATGCATAAAAAATAATGCATATGCACTCATATGAGCCCACTATAAGCCTCATGTAATACACCATTATCAACGGCAAGTTTTCCAGTTGTTCTTAGCTCTCCATTGCATATCTCTGGGTTGTCTAGGCCCCACCACATAATCACAGCCCTCCTTCTGCTCATAGTACTAGTGGCAGCCTCAATGTTTGAAGATGGTGGCATCTTGTCGCGCCACCCTCAAACCACGCTGAAGCAGTAACTGCCCAAACTGGGGACTACTGGAACTTTGCAGAAGCGACTGTACGGTCTATTGGTAACTGCTTCTTTAAATGGCTTGAAGAGTTCCCTGAAAAAAAGGTTTGGAGCGTGATTTTCTTTTTTTTACATTTGTGCGTAACCAGGACCTGTTACAACTGTCACTCAAAGGAGTAGAGATACTCCTTCAAGAAGTGTTAACACTGGATTTAATGTGTATACCCAAGCACAGGACAGGCTGCCTTCAAACATCCTTGTGCAATCCTAGGATGCAAGTATCAGGTATAATTCTATTTAGAATCCAGCATATAAGGATACTTGCTGCACAATACTAAACATCCTTCTTCAAAAACAAATCCCATCGAGTTCAGTGGCCTTTGTAGCAGAATCCTCTGCATACTCCTGAGTAGACGTGCCATAGGATTGCATAGCAAAGGTCCCTGAACTGTGGGGATTTATTTTTGAAAGCTATTGTGCTGTTAGTAATACCAATATTGTGTTAAATGGGACTTACTCCAAGAAAGCATGCCTAGGATTGCAGCCTCCTCCCTTGTTAAGTGTGCTAAAGACAATCCTGTACACGTCTCCTCAAACAGAAGTCCCACTAAGCTCATTGAGGCTGGCTCTCATAGAAGGTGGTCTAGGGTTTCAGACAGGGCAAATGTCGTCTTTCCAATTTAGCCTTTATGGACATTACAAACATGCTCAGAAGTAGCATCCCAAGCATTCCTTCGTTGGAAAGAGGCTTGCAGGCTCTTGTAAGTTTTCTAACCTTTGCTTGGTTTCTTAAATACAGTGGTACCTCGGGTTACATACGCTTCAGGTTACATACGCTTCAGGTTACAGACTCCGCTAACCCAGAAATAGTGCTTCAGGTTAAGAACTTTGCTTCAGGTTAAGAACAGAAATCGTGCTCCGGTGGCGCGGCGGCAGCAGGAGGCCCCATTAGCTAAAGTGGTGCTTCAGGTTAAGAACAGTTTCAGGTTAAGAACGGACCTCCGGAACGAATTAAGTACTTAACCCGAGGTACCACTGTACTGCTCCTCTTTTATTCTGGCACTTTGTGCTCTCTCCCTCTTACCTGCTATCCTCACAAACGTAGATTAAGCATTTCAAAGCTTTTAATTTAAATAAGGAAACACAACAATGATGCACACAGATAACTTTGCTATGTGTTTGTTTAAGATATACCTTTATTTATGTACAACAAAAGGAGGCACATTTAGGTAACTAAACTCAATCCTAAATACTGTGAAAAATGACTCTGCATGGCAGAGAATCTATATGAAAATTTATGGTGGGTGTTAATTCAAGACAAGTTTAGCCTGATGGTGAGGGTGGGTGTTCTGTATCTGTGCATATGTATACAAAATTTGGGTCAGTGTTCTTGTATAGTAGTGCAAACGTAGATGGCAGCTTATTAGTCCAATGACTCAGAACCCACTCCAGCCAATTGACACTTCAATCTGAGATACGTTTACTTCTAAGGGACAAGCTCAGAATCACTGTGTTTGGCCTGTAGTTTGTAAAACCATTGAATTGCCAAGTGGGCTACAGCAGCTTAGGTCACAATTCGCCATTAATGCGAGTACACTAGCATTAATCAATTACAGGTGGGAATCTGGTTGTTTATGAATTGTACTTTTTGAATAATGATTTGTGTGTCACTGCCAACTCTTGTGATTTGCTCTGAGATTCTTGTTTGTGATTCTATGCAATGCCCCGATCATATTTTGTTAGTATAAATCACTCAAAATAACTCCAAGGACATAAAATTGATGTACGTGAATCCATGCAAAACACTGTATTATTATAATGTTCCATGGATATAAGTGAAACTTTCTTAACACATACCTGCGCTAAAGGAGAACAGTCTCAGCTAAGAAGTACAGGAATGCCACGTCACGGCTTACTGATTCTGGAAGAACTACGTACTCACTTCAGGTGTGCAAAGGTAACAAACAGAAAGTCAGTTGTGGATCGGGACTTGGTAAGCATATGCAAAGCAGTAACTTTCACCTGTGCCGTACACTAAACCTAAAAGGTTTGACTAAATGTGATCTGTGAGGTGCTGCTAGCCAAAGAAGAATACCTGAAGTAAGAGGTTTTAGTTGAGGTGGTGGTGGAGGGCAATAATGCAATAACTGCTTTGCAAAGTCAGAAAACATCAAAGATGCAATCCATTGTTAGGCATACATCAATTCTGACTGAAATATGCTATCAGCTGCATCCGGAATACTGTTCCTAGAGATGTCATCCCTGACCACTGGTCTTGCTAGCTAGGGATGATGGGAGTTGTAGTCCAAAAACAGCTGGAGGCCCAAGGTTGGGAAACACTGGTCTAGAGAACCAGTCAGTGTACAATGGTGCTATTACATCATGCCAAGCTGTTTTCAGCTGGGTTTCCTTACCAAAGCAGAAAAATACTCATTGACTCGAGCGATTCACAGGTGATTTCTCTGTCTTATATTCTTGGAATTCAATTTTGGAGCACAAAAATGAAGCTGCCACATATTTCAAATACAGTACCATGCACAGCTAATTCAGATATGAAGCACTGAACTATCAGAAAACACCTACAAAAGCAGACATCTTTCTGTTTTGTTTGCAGAACAGCAAAAATCTCCCTTCAGCCCAAAATATACAAAAACCTCCACCTCTAATTATTTTCTTTAAATATTAATTTATTCTGATATTTTCTCTTAAAAAAACAAACACAGTCTGCATTGATTGTGATAAATCCCAGCCAGAGATGCAAAATAACTTGGGCTCCATCTGTTGCAATGAGGCAAGATAACAGAAGCAAGAAACTGTAAATTCTGAAAGACTATCTATTGACACTATTTTGATACAGTGCTTCTCCTTGACCTTTATTTTAATAGCCCCACCATCACTTCGCTGATATCCCATAGTTTCCTTGCAACCAAATCATCCATGGCATTGGGCAACAGTTGTTCCTCCTTGCAGTTTCCAAAATATTTCCCAGATACACCCTCTACTTCGGGGGAGGAGGCCAGATAAATTGAAGTCTGGGCTCCTTCCAGAGGGGTTTTGAAGAAAGCCCAAGATACCAAATTGAAGAGGGGCTTGGCTAGCAAAGGGATATGTATATGTCTGCCTAGATTTGTTCTGACAATACCGGGATGTAGCACATTGACCGTGACCCCTGTGTTCTCTAAGCGACGGGCTAATTCCCTAGTGAACAGTATGTTGGCCAGTTTACTCCGACTATAAGCAAAGCTTTTATTGTAATTTAGCTCACTGTTCAAGTCATCAAAGTTGATCTCGCCGTATTTGTAAAGCTTGGAGGAAACCACCACAATCCTGCTGGGCGCAGAGCTTTTCAGAAGTCCAAGGAGGAGGTTTGTGAGCAAGAAGTGCCCCAAGTGGTTGACGCCAAACTGCATCTCAAAGCCGTCCTCGGTCTTCATATAGGGACACTGGAATATCCCTGCATTGTTGATCAGGACATCCAGCCTAGACTCTTCCTTTATACAACAGAGGGGGAAAGTAGTCAGACATACTAATGTAATAATATTAAAATTATTCATTTTTTAAAAAATAAAGATTAAAAAGTCTGATCCCTTAAAAGTGACAGCGAGCCTGAAACCCTTTACAGTTGACCACTTCCAATGCTAGCAATAACTTTATTGATTTGGCCACACACCATTTTGATTTTCCGCTCACTCCAACCTGAACCTATTGACCTTTCTTTTCCTGTCAATGTTTTTCCTCTTAGGGTTTTGTTGGGATGGGACATATTAGTGGTGGGTAGGCCCATGCTCTTTTCTCCCACTTTCTGCCACTCCTTTCTCTCTTCCCCCTCTCTCTGCCACCTCCTTTTTCTCTTCTTTTTGCCACATGAAAAGTAGACTGCTTGAAATTAGGCTGAGGGCAGCATGTGAGCCTAAGGCTACTAGTTGCCCACCCCCAATGTAGAGTTGGACCAGTACTGGTTTCAAATCTCCTCTGTCATTAAACTCTCCCTAGGTGACTTTCTATGTGTCAATCAATCTCTCAGCTTAGCCTCTTTCACAGGTTTGTGATACAAAAGAAGGGCATTTTGCCCCTCTCTGATATCTTTGGGGAAAGTGAGGGGGGAAGAAAAAATGCAATTAAAAACACTTTTCACAATCAGCATGGCCTAACACATACAAGTTCCGGAACTCATCTCATTTTTAATAGCAATTAAATGTTATTGGAGAACACTCCAGCTGCTGAAACACAAGCCAGTGTTTCACAGTGCAACACTATTCATGTCTCCACAGAACTAAGTCCTAATGAATTCAGTGGGGATTACTCCCAGGTCAGGAGGGACAGGACTGCAGTCTCGTTCACTAATAATATTTAGCTATACAGAAGCACTGTGCCAGGATTGTCAGGTCAATTATTTCAAAATATCATATCTCCAAAAACATATAAGAGTGCAAGCTCTTAAACTGGCTCATTTGGTGTGACCAGACGCTCTTCTCATATTTAATCTCATATTTAATTGATCACTTGTTGATTACTGGGTGAAAGGAGACTTCCAGTGACATTCCAAGGAATGCAAAACAAATACAGCTTATGACTTTGTTGTTTCTGCTAAATTGTCACTGTTTTACTCTCTTTTGATGCTATTAATAGTTGCATGGCAAGATTTGACATTGGAAGGTCAAATGCTCTTTTATGAATGATATCGCTGTATCTGTCAACCTTCAGATGTACTGGATTCTACTTTCCTATATATGTAACATACCCTTCTCTCGCTTTTGTGATAATAATTCTAAGATTTATTACTGACATGTCATTCCTCTTGGGAAAAGGATACTGCGTGTACTTCACAAAACAAGTTTGCATCTGATACAAGCAAGGCCCAAACCAGATCAACCAGCTCCTCTTCTCTATCCACCCTGTGGTTGTCTGTCTTTAAATCAATAAGATCAGGCTGTAACCGCCCTCATACTGGCTAGTCTGCATTTCAGATTCAGCAAAGATATATTCTCACTGCTAATGCTTATGGCGCAAAGAGAAAACCATTTTGTGCTGTGCCATTTGGGTAGACTGCTACATTAAACAGCAACAACTACCGATGAAGGGAGCTACCAATAAATTCTTAGGCATACATTGGACAGCTCAATTGGTAGAGCATGAGGCTCTTAATCTCAGGGTTGTGGATTCGAGCCCCAAGTTAGGCAAAAGATCCCTGCATTGCAGGGGGTTGGGCTATATGACCCTAGCGGTCCCTTCCGACTCGACAATTGTTTTAACTCTGTGGTCCCTTGAACTCTGGACCCCAAGACATGCATACTTAGATGAAAGCCCCACTTATTTATTCTGAAATTCTATACCTCAGACAGTCAGTAGGGATCAAAGATGAAGGGTCTTTAGCAGCAGCCCAGCCAGATGGGTGGGAAATAATAATAATAATAATAATAATAATAATAATGGCAGCTCTTTAGCTGCAGCCCATAATAATAATGGCGGCTCTTTAGCTGCAGCCCAGATGGACAGGGTATAAATCATAATCATAGCTCTTTACCTGGAACCCAGCCAGATGGGCAGGGTATTATTATTAATAATAATAGTGGTAGCTCTTTAAGTGTAACCCAGTCAGGTGGGCAGGGTATATAATAATAGTAACAGTAATAGTAATAATAATGGCAGCTCTTTAGCTACAGCCCAGCCAGATGATCCGGGTATGTATGTATAAATAAATAAATGATATTATTATTATTAATAATAATAATAGCAGCTCTTTAGCTGCAGCCCAGCCAGATGGGCTGGGTGTGTATGTATGTATAAATGATAATAATAATAATAATAATAACAGCTCTTTAGCTGCAGCCCACCCAGATGGGCCGGGTATGTATAAATGATGATAATAATAATAATAATAATAATAATAATAATAATAATAGCTCTTTAGCTGCAGCCCAGCCAGCAGACGGGCTTGTCGCTTTACCTGCAGCACCTGCTGGCAGAAGCGGCGCACGGAGCCCAGCGAGGCCAAGTCCAGCTGGCGCACCACCAGCTCCCCTCGGCCTCCGCCTCTTTCCCGCGAGCTGAGGCCCATCTCGGCGCGCAGCTCCCGGGCCGCCTCCTCGGCGCGCGCCGGGTCCCGGCAGGCCATGATGACCCTCGCGCGGCGCCTCAGCAGCTCGGCCGCCGCCGCCCGGCCCAGGCCGCTGTTGGCGCCCGTGATGATCACCGTCTTGCCCTCCATCCGGCACAAGGCGGCGGCGGCGGCCGTAGCGCTGCCCTTCCCCGCGGCCGCCGCCGGCCAGAGGCGCCGGGCGAGGAGCAGCAGCCCTCCGCCCAGAGCAGCGGCCACAACCACCGCGGCGGCAGTGGCGGCCATCGCCCTCGGAGCCCCGCCCCAGACCGTGAGGGCGGAAGGGCCGAGCGACGCGCAACCCCGGAGCGGCGCGGCCCAACGCGCGCCGCTCGCGGAGGCTCCTCAGCGCCGCGTTGCGGTTGGCCCTTCGCGAGGCATCCTGGGAGGTGTAGTTCTCGAGCGCTCTGGAACTTGCAGCCTTTCTCAACCTTGGGTCCCCAGGTGTTTTTTGGCCTACAACTCCCATCATCCCTGACCACTGGTCCTGTGAGCTAGGGATCATGGGAGTTGTAGGCCAAAAACATCTGGTGAGAACCGCTGTAAGGAACAGCCATAGCAACGACGCGTTTCTTTTTCTTTTTTGGTAAAAGTTATTTATTTGGTTATTCAGATTAAAGTTTTACAATCTCATATCCAACACGCAACATAAAAACAAGGTTCCAAAGAATCTCCTGGACTTCCCTCCTGCCCTTTGTGGGTCCCTATTGTTAGTCATTTCCTCCTGCATCTTTTATAACAATCCAAATCTTTTACATCTCCATTATGTCCAAAATTCACCATCAACACCACAAGTGTTATTCCAATCCTACTAACGATTTTAGCTGTTTACAATGGTTTTTAAGATAAATTATAAATTTCCCCCATTCCTTATTAAAAATTTGGTCATTTTGGCCATTCCGGCATAATCCATCAACTTGATTTGCCATTCTTCTCTGGTAGGGACTTTATCTTATTTACCACAGCTGAGCGGATGTTATTAGCCCAGAGATGGAAAGAAGTCTGCCACGCATTTCTGCACCATGTGGGGAAGCCACAGCTTAGATTTCCATAAGCCAACAAACAAGTAAAAAGAAGGTGCAGCTGCTTACAGATGGCTACACCTGTCCTGTGAGGTAAATAACCGAATCTAGTTATTGCCATCCCTACCAAAAAGTGAGAAATTCCTTTCTTAAAAAAACCCAAGTGTAAACCTCAATACTGATCTGTAAGATGGGAGAAATGAGCATTTTAGCAAAGCTTTACATTACTGTTCATCAGCTGCTTTCTTTCTTTTAAACTGTAAAAAATAAGCAGACTTAAGTGTTTCAAAAATACCCATTTATTGCCATAGGAGAAAATTTAAGTGCATGGTAAAATAAATGGCAGCACTCCACTTACGGAACTCTCTTCCAGGGGATCAAAAGTCTTGAAGAGCAAATTAAGGATTTTCTTGTTTGTTCGGGCAATTTTGGTTTCAAAGACATATTTTTAGAACTGTGCTGCTGATGGACACTTCGTTTATGTATAATATACAATAATTGTGTAGTTTTAACAATTTGGTTTTGCTTTGTGTTTTACACAGCTTTATGTTGTACAGCACAACTGGACGCCTTCAGCTGTCCCAGTTGCAACAAAACATGTATTGGTCTCTATAGCCACAGCAGGTGCTATGACCTTCCAAAAGTTTTACTTCACCTCAAAAAGCACACTCTTCCATTGTTTCCAGAGACAGATGGACGCCAACAAAATTGTTAGCTGCCCTGGGCTCCTTGTGGAAGAAGGGTGTGGTTACAAACCTAATGAATCCATTTTAAACCAAGAGTGATATGAAAATAGGAATCTGTGTTGTTGAGGGTCACAAGTCACATTCATCCCTGCTCTGTCTTTCAATATCTACCTACTTTTATGCAATAGAATAGGGTTTTCCAGATATTTATTTCCCTCTTACAGCACTGCACTAAAAAGTAGCATTAGCAACACTGTATTTTATATTTGTTATGCAAGCTGCTTAGGTTTGTGTTAAGCAGAGAATAAATATTTTACATTAAAAACAAATATATACAAAGCAGCAGTGCCAGCAAGAATGTTGACTGCGCTCCAAAGGCGAAAATATTTTCAACTTGCAAATGAAACCAACGTTGAACAAGGCGGGACAACTGATTGCTGTTGGACTTTGACCCAGCCAGCATGTCCAATTACCGGTATATTATTAGTGATGGGAGTTGCAGACCAACTCTTGCGTGAGCCACAGGTTCTCCACCTGCTGCAATAGACTTTAAAAGGGTTAGATTTACAAGGCCTTTCTCTAGATGCAAGATAGGAATGTCTGCTCCCACAGGAAATAATGAGAAAATATGAGAGCTTCACGCTCTTTCTAAGGGCATTTTGTGTGTGTCTATTTTGCAAATGAAAATGAAGTTCAGTGTTATTATCCCTATATTGCATGTGGTGCCGTGGCTGAGAGAAGCCTGCATTGTAGCTTCCTGTTATCCCCACACTGCAAGGTAGAGAAGGACCCATTGGTCATGTTGCAGCTTCTGGTTAGAGGCTGATAAAAGCCAACCATAATGTAAAGGTAAAGGGACCCCTGACCATTAGGTCCAGTTGTGACCGACTCTGGGGTTGCGGCACTCATCTCGCTTTATTGGCCGAGGGAGCTGGCGTACAGCTTCTGGGTCACATGGCCAGCATGACTAAGCCACTTCTGGTGAACCAGAGCAGCGCACGGAAACGCTGTTTGCCTTCCCGCCAGAGCGGTACCTATTTATCTACTTGCACTTTGAGGTGCTTTCGAACTGCTAGGTTGGCAGGAGCAGGGACCGAGCAATGGGAGCTCACCCCTTTGCGGGGGTTTGAACTGCCGACCTTCTGATCGGCAAGCCCTAGGCTCTGTGGTTTAACCAACCATAATGTAGTATGGAGTTATTATGGCATGTCCCAGAGCCGTATCTAGGTGATCTTGCGCCCCTGGCAGAACCGTCCAGATTGCGCCCCCTAGCCATGGACAAATTAGCTCTTCTTTCCACCTCTCCTCAACCCCAACCCCCTCCACCCATTCAATTCCTCACACACTTTACCTGTAATGAATTCTTTCACAGAAAATCCACTATTTAATTTATTTATATATATTATAGCCAGTTTTGCACCCCACCCCTCACCTGCAACCCTGGCGGGGGCCTTCCTCAACACCCCCTAGCTATGGCCCTGGCATGTCCAATCCAAGATTTGGTTTCTTTTTTTATGAGAAAGATGTCATCTGGGCGCTCCGTTTATCATAATTGCCAACCTGGGTGGTACTCCCCAAATATTATCTCTTGGTACGCTCATGATTTGCCCTTGAGGAATTCTGTTCTCAACAAGGCATATAGTAAATAGCATGCCAGTCAAACAGGTCTAACTCCACTAGTGTTAAATAATGATTCAGTACATCTATGGATAGACACATAATGGGATAATAGGTACATAATGTTGAAAGGTGCACTCCTCTTCTTTGTGTATCAGTATCATGTTTCATAGGCTTCTATCACTGTCATACTCTGTACAGTGGTGCCCTGCAAGACGAATGCCTCGCAAGACGAAAAACTCGCTAGACGAAAGGGTTTTCCGTTTTTTGAGTCGTTCCGCAAGACTAATTTCCCTATGGGCTTGCTTCGCAAGACGAAACGTTCTTGCGAGTTTGTTTCCTTTTTCTTAAAGCCGCTAAGCTGTTAATAGCCGCTAAGCCGCTAATAGCCGTGCTTCGCAAGACGAAAAAACCGCAAGACGAAGAGACTCGCAGAACGGATTAATTTTGTCTTGCGAGGCACCACTGTACTTGGAATTGAGTCCCATAGAACTTTGTTTCTGACCAAGCTGCATGATATCAGAGAATAAAATTGTAGTGCTTTCTGTTTTGGGAGCTGGAAGGTGCACTGGGCCCTTAATACAAATGCCTGAATACACTTTGAGCACAGACGTCTGCCTTATGTCCTTAAAAGAGGGCACAGATAGGGAAATGATTAAACCAAGGGCAAAAGTAATGGTTATTCTCATTCCAGGGAGCAATCTGAAGAATTATTTTGCCATACAATCCCAGCTGAATGAAACCTGGCAATCTAATTGCAATGGTTATGCAAGATACATTTAAAAGTGTTTAGAAATATTAGCCTAGAAATACCGTATTTATGCAGGGATGGAATGATTGCTGCATTCATTTCAATAGTGCAACTTAAAGCAAGAATATATAGTTTACTTCTATGGGACAACTGTTCATGAATATGCCTTTAAAAGACTCTTGAATAAATAGAAAAATGCTGATTAAGTCTCTAAAAGCCGCTTTTATTAAACCAGACAAGTAGCTTTAAAAAAGAAGAGGGTACATGTGTATCCCTATAAATCACAAGACATTTACTAATTGGTTTATACCACGTTCACACAGCATAAACCATGGGACGCACTAGATAGAAGGCAGGGTCCGGTCTACTGACTGCCATTAACAGTTACATATACCACCACTTTGGTGTTTGTGGTAGCAGGTGTCTGTGTGCATAATAATGCAGCACAGCTCAAGTTCTAGATAATGCACTGGGCCTGTATTCAGAATCACTAAATGAAAGGAGTGCTATTTGCATCACATTCCAATCAATGGAAACTATTGATTTCATTTTGATTGCATTCCACTGACTTGGTTCCTGCAGTCTAGCTGGTGTGCACACAGGGCAACAGACTGTCTAATAAAGCAGTAACACATACAAAACCCCATATTTCCATAGCTTGTGTGCAAAGTGTGCACTAGGCACTGGTTATTCGTCAAGACACAGCAACGAACGCATGGTCTTCTGCTACATTCATGGTTCTGTAGAGCAGAGGGAACGATTTAAGTATTACAATGCTAATATTTCCCAATAGCCAAAGAGCCCAAGTTAGAAGGGTCGACTAAAGCCCAATCTGTTTAGGAGTGTATATGCAAGTATTTCAACTTCTCCCAAAATATATATTTATAGTAAATATATATATCTCCTCTAAAAATAGATCAGGAAACTGGAGGTCACACTTAAATATAAACCTTGATAAAAGTCCAAGAATGGAAATTTCAGACTCAACAGCACATTCAAGGCTAGGCTGAAAAAGCAACTTAATTTTTGGCAGGGCTGTCTTTCAGCTTGGACTTGTGGTACTTCTGCCCAATGCCATATGGCACGTGCGCAGCAATTGTACCCAGCTGCCGCGCTCCCTCTATGTGAAACATCTGATCATCAAAGAAAATATGAGGTCTGATTTTTGCCAGGACTGGTCCCTTAGGTGCCCCTGCGAGGAAGAG